CAGGGCTCGGCCCGGAGCAGCCCCGCGGTGCCGGGCTGCCGGCGGCAGCTGGGGAAAAACAGGCGATCAAAGCCGTGTGGCAGAGAGCTCCTTTCTGCTCTCGGTGGGTGTGTTTTGATTTGGGTTTCTTTGGGTGCTGTTTGTTTTGTTGGTTTCTTTATTTTCGGGGGGTGAGCTTTACCAGACACCGGCCCAACAAGTGGATGGTGCGGGCGGGGGCTGCCTGAGCCGCGGCCGTCTGGACGTGTCTGGGGGAGAAGCCGCAAGAAGCGACACGCGTCCTCCCGTCCGTGGAAACAGGCTGGGCACACGGATTATCTAGCGTTGATTTACAAAGCTGCTGCTTGGAAAGACTAGTGATCGCGGTTATCCATTCATTCTGTCTCTCACACACACAAACACACCGCCTTCATTTTTCTTCCGTTTGGAACGAGACTCTTGCTTGTTGCCTTTTTGCAAATGCCTGGGCGAGAAGCAGTGGCTGTGGCTGTGCAGAGTGCCCCCGGCTTGAGCTGCCTCACTGGCTCGCTCTTGGCGCTCTTGTTGCACCCGGTGAGAAGGGAGAGAGAGAACTCGTCAACCTGTGGTGCTGACTGACCATACACACCTGCAAATGTAAATCAGTTGGCATAGCCGCCTCCTCAGGACTGCTGTCACCAGATCCTTACACTAGCAAGAACAGCATTGCTATTTTTCTGCCTAGGAACAGTAAGTATAATAGCTCCTCTAAGGTCTTTTTCTGCATGACGCGTAGGTATGATTTTAAAAATAGCTTCATTTAATAGTTTGTATTCACCTCTATCATGTGTTAATAGATGTAGCTATAAATGGGGCTTCTGTTTCAAAGGGATGCGTGTGTTTTTGTGTGTGTGCTTGCATGTAGATGTTGCTTCAGTGCACCTGCAGTTGTGTTTTTCTGACATATCATATCACAGTATTTTCACCTGAGTGAGCCTTGTACGTGCCTGTTTCCAAATTAAATTCCATGAGATGTTTGTTATGATTGAAACACAGTTCAGTTACAGCCAAAAATGTATCATTCCTGCACCTTATGTGTTTCTATAAATATAACAAAGGCTCTTTGTGTAGATACATATTTCATATAGGTATATGTAGGTGTATCTATTACGTATGTGCTCAAAGGTCTGAATGCACTGTGTATTGCAGTATTTTTATTAGTGTTTATCTGTGTTGGTGTTTCAGAAGCATGCATATGTTTTTGTATGGATGCAAGTGCTTATATGGGTGGGGATTTTGTATCTCTGTCTATATATATATGACATACCCACCCACATCCTTACCCACAGAGTCGTTCAAAATCTCTGTGCATGTGATGTGGGTGTGTGTGTAATGAAGAAGTGTGAATAGTGTGGGTAGGGGAAGATTTGAATACCGTGGTAATAGATGACACAATTTCATTTGGTCAGTGGGACCTTTTAGGAAAACAATCCAATCTTTTCCCTTTTTGTTTTGTTTATTTTTTGTGTGTTTGTGCATGTGCCTCAGGTTAAGTGCTTCTTCTGCATGACCATAACCAAAGGGTGACCCATCCACTCCCTTACGTCCTATGGGAACCTCAGAGCCAGTGTCTCAGTCTTCATCTCCTCCTCCTCCTCCTCCTCTTCCTCCTCCTCCTCTTACCACTGCTGCTGACGCCCTGGGTGCTGCTCCCAGGTTTGAGACATTGTTGACAGGCTGAAGAAAGGATTTGCAAAGACCTCCTCACTGTGTAAATAAAGTGATGGCTGGAATTAACATCAACTCCCCAAGTAATGATATTAAACAATAAGATTGCTAAGCCAAAGCATTACCGGGAACAAATTATGAGGAAAGAGACTGTTTGCATTTGGTTACAATGATGAACTAAAACTATCTGTGGAGAGCAAGTACCCTTTGATTTGCACATTTTTTTCCTCATGAATGCAGCCTTTGTAGCCTGCAAGGCAGTCATGATTCTGATCAGATCTGTGATAGCTACAAGAGATAAATGAAAGGAAAGGGTCTTGATGAATGAAAGAACAAGGCCTCAGCTGCTCCCTGGTTCACTTTGAGAGTTTCATCTTTTCTTATTAGTGGAACAGTAGTTTGTGTCAAACATTCCGGACAATAAGGAAAAGCAGATCTGTGGTTTTCCAAAATGTAGATTCAGGGTTGCAACTGTGTTGCCCTGCTCTGTGTCCAAGGGACTGTCCTCCAAATGCAAATGGCTTTGAGCTTTCTAGTGAAAGTTAAGGTTACACTGTAAAAACAAGATTTTTTTTTTGGCTTTAAGTGATTAAAAAAAGAAAGAAAACCAGTTGCAAAATGGAGGTTGCAATGGTGAGTGCAGATAGCTCTGGGTGCAACAGCCACATGCCCTATGGATACGCGGTCCAAGCTCGGGCCCGAGAGAGAGAGCAGCGGGGGCAGCGCCAGCCGTAGCAGCAGCAACAGCAGCAGTAGAAGGTGGGGCAACAGGTGGAGGTGGACCATATCATCACTATCATCAGGAGGAGAGTCGAGGCGCATCCTCCTCTCATGGTGGGAATGCGTCTCGCAGCAGCATGCCCCACCGCCAGAGTGGTAAGAGGCGGAAGAAAGGGAAGAAGAGGAGCCACCGCTTGGGAAATAGGGAGTGCGGGGCCTCCTTCCCCTGTTCTGAGCTGCTGCCTCTCAGTGGGTCTGAAGAGAGAATACTGAAGGACTTGAGTGAGGAGGAAGAGGAGGATGAAGACGAGGATGAAGACGATGAGGAAGAAGGAAAGCTCTACTACAGTGATGACTATGGGGAGGACGAGTTTTCATACTCGGACCAGCCACCTGATGATGGTGGAGGCCCTGGGGGTTACAGCTCTGTTCGCTACAGTGAGTACGAGTGTTGTGAGCGTGTGGTGATCAACGTGTCAGGACTGCGGTTTGAGACCCAGCTGAAGACATTAGCTCAGTTCCCGGAGACATTGTTGGGTGATCCTGCGAAGCGAGGGAGATACTTTGACCCTCTCAGGAATGAATACTTCTTTGATAGGAACCGGCCCAGCTTTGATGCCATCCTGTACTACTACCAGAGTGGTGGTCGGCTGAAGAGGCCAGTCAATGTACCCTTTGACATCTTCACTGAGGAGGTGAAATTCTACCAACTTGGGGAGGAGGCCATGCTCAAGTTTAGGGAGGATGAAGGGTTTGTCAAAGAGGAAGAGGAAAAAGTTTTGCCGGAGAATGAGTTTAAGAGGCAGGTTTGGCTGCTGTTTGAGTACCCAGAGAGCTCCAGTCCAGCCAGAGGCATTGCCATTGTCTCTGTCTTGGTCATCTTGATCTCCATCGTCATCTTTTGTCTGGAGACTTTGCCAGAGTTCAGAGATGACAAAGAATTCGTCATGTCCCTGAGCTTAGGGAAGGGGCTTTCCAATGAGACGCTTCACCTGGATGCTGGGGAGCACACCATCTTCAATGACCCTTTTTTCATTGTAGAGACGGTATGCATCATTTGGTTCTCCTTTGAGTTTACAGTGCGCTGCTTTGCATGTCCAAGCAAAGCACAGTTCTTCAAGAACATCATGAACATCATAGACATTGTCTCCATCTTGCCTTACTTCATTACTCTGGGCACTGACTTGGCACAGGAGCAGGGCAGTAATGGTCAACAGGCCATGTCTTTTGCCATCCTGAGGATCATCCGTCTTGTCAGGGTGTTTCGCATCTTCAAGCTCTCCAGACACTCCAAGGGTTTGCAGATCCTGGGTCATACGCTCAGGGCCAGCATGAGGGAACTTGGCCTCCTCATCTTTTTTCTTTTTATCGGAGTCATTTTGTTTTCCAGTGCTGTTTACTTCGCAGAAGCTGATGAGCCTGCCACCCATTTTCAAAGCATCCCAGATGCCTTTTGGTGGGCTGTAGTGACCATGACTACCGTCGGTTATGGGGATATGAAACCCATAACTGTGGGTGGGAAAATAGTTGGGTCCCTGTGTGCCATTGCGGGAGTGTTAACCATTGCTTTACCAGTGCCAGTGATTGTCTCCAATTTTAACTATTTCTACCACAGAGAGACTGAGAATGAAGAACAAACGCAGCTGATGCAAAATGCAGTCAGTTGCCCTTACCTCCCATCAAATTTACTGAAGAAATTTAGAAGCTCCTCATCTTCATCCACAGAGGATAAATCAGAGTATCTGGAGATGGAAGAAGGAGTTAAAGAGTCTCTTTGTGTAAAGGAGAAAAAAAGTCAGGACACAGGGAATAGCAGTGAGTCAGAGAAGAAAAACTGTGTAAATTCTGTGGAAACTGATGTGTAATTTTGAACGTTTCCAAATATATTTATGCATTAAAGAGTGCAGTGAAAATAATGAAATATGCAAACAAGAGTCCACAGCATACAGCAGTATGCCATTTAATGGGTAAATACAAATAAAAAGCATTGCTAAACTTGTATCACATATCAAGGAAGTGGTGTAACTTGAGGAAGGGATTGCTAGATCTGATACAATTTCAGATTTTATATTTTTATTAGAATGCAAGTGTTTTGCACATGAGGCTGAAAAATTTATTAAAACCAAGTCAGTTTTAAAGTGGGTGCATGAACTGTCGACATCACTAATAACAGCTCTGTGGTTAAAGTTGGCATTCAGAGGTATTTACTATGTAAGAAGCAATGAATTTGGTAGTCATTTATCTATTTATCAGTGCTTTAATAGCAGCTACCATACATCACTGGATACCATAGTCATTGTTTTTCAAATGGTAAATTTATTGTAAAAAGATATTCTACAGAAGATAGATCTGAATTTTTTTCTTGAAATCTATAATGCTTGTTTTTAACTGGTAATTTACTTCAAAAAGGCTGCTGACCCTCCAGAAATTGTTTATTTTTATAACTCTCTTTGGAGGCATTGCAGCATTTGTTGTCTAATAATGAAAGAAATGAAGTAAGAGAATCATTTAACCTGGTCTGACTGCAAAGGCAAAATGACTGGAATGCTTTTTTGCACTACTCTATATGCTGGAGATATACTGAAAGAGACTTCATACTGTGAATGTTTACTAATGTAATAGTTCAATGACAATCATTGGAAGAGTGAATTCCACATCATATTTTGTTTCTTTTTTCTTTATGTGATGCTGATGGCAAAACAGTTAACATTACATCAAGTCCATACTCTTTTTAATTATGAATATCTGTGATCTGGAAAAGGATTGTGAAGTAAAATTTTATAATCAAAATTATTTGAAATCAGTGTCTTCTACTGATGCCCTCAAGAAATACCAACCTAATTTATATCTTTTTCCTGGTTAATTTAACATTCAGAGTCTATGATTACTACATGCACTTTGTCAGTATTGCAGAAATTCAATGTATGGGAGGAGAAGGTGGAAGTAATAAGATACTCAGTTGTAACAGTACTGACAACTGAGAATTGCTAACTTTTAACATGCTATTATTGGTGCTGCATTTTCCCTTAATTACAGCTTTCACCCGTGTATATTTGAAGCAACATTTAAGATCCAAAATAGGCATTCTGGGATTCAAAATGAACATGCTGGGTCCCATGCAGTCCTTGAGAAAACATTCCATGATTTCTTTTCACTGATTCTTAGGCCAGCTCTGTTTTACTGTGTGTCAAAAACTTCCATTGCCCTTCCTAGGAGAGTAAGGTAGGTGAAGATTATCTGGCCTACAGTTCATTCCAGACGCCAGAATGAAATAGGTAAGGTATTGCTTCATATAACATAAATAATAGATTCAAAACAGCATTTTTTTCAGACTTAGATTACCTAGGGAAGGCACAATTTAACTGGAACTGTTTTTGAAGAGGCACTGTGGAACATTCCAGATTGTAAAACTTGAACCAAATTGGCATATGCACTTTAAGGGCTGGGATAGGCCAATATGAGAGAAAAAGGAGCTTACCAACACTGCTGAATTACAGTAGCTTTGCAATGTTCATTTAAAGCTGAGCAGAAGATTTTTGTGGGGGGAGAACTAGGTAGTGACTGACTTAGAGTTCTGGAGCCTAAAAGCGGCAATAGCAGCAGTCCAAAGTGGGCACCCACGACATTACGCATAATCTGTCAGATAAGTATTGTTTGCTGTAGAACTGAACAGAGCCATAGAGAGAGATTTTTCTTTAATGGTTGGGTTTTGCCTTCATGGATTTTCTGTGAATTGCCTCTTTGAAGAGTTTCTCTGCTTGACCTCTTTTGCATTGCAGAAGAACAAATAAAAACCAACAGACTGTTGTACTGAGTGAGACCTGGTTCAAAACTTGTATTTAAATGTCTGATTCCTAATTTAAAATCATAGAGCAGGCTTCACTATATTTTTTTTGGTGTGAAGCATTAAACAAAGTTCCTTTTTAATGTGGTGATATTAATTCCACGTATGTTTCGAATGAAGCAACTCAGTGATTTTATACATAGCCATTTGCCAGAATTGAATGTTACATTTTCTTGTAGCTCACCTGATTTAAATGTACTAAATGCTTGTTTCTACAGGGGCTATGTTGGCAGCGAGAATGATCATTCTGTAAAATCCAGTAAAAATCTGTAGCTGAAAGTGTTTCTTTAACAGCTAGCAGTTACTGATGGGAAGAGTATAAGGGTTCTCTTGTAAGCTAGCTTGCTAGAAGTTCTGTGTAATACCAGAGACCGTATAATTTCCAGGAAGCATGGCAAGAATATAAGAATAAAAAGAAGTACTAATTAGGTAAATAAAGAACTTAAAGACTAATTAGTATGTGATTGCAGTGTTGACTGGTTGAAAGGCAAGGTCTTTCATAAGAGGTGGAATTTTAGATCTCTAATGGAAATAAGGAAGAAAATTCTTTGAATAGCTCTTACGAGATGTTCACAGTGTGGACATGGAGCTCGACATGAGGTAACTGCTGAATTAATTACCCAGCTTCCCCAGCAAGTTGTTCAGCTCTTCTGCTACCAGTACGCACTTTTGATTTAGAGCAAGTGTGACAATGTCTACATTATGCTGTGATCGTAGCAGTACTTTACCCTCTGAAGGAAAAGGTCTTACAGGAGAACCTCGTAGCAGTTGGCAGAGCAACCTTCTGGGTGTGTCAGCACTACATACTGCAGTACTGTGGAGGCATATCCTAAGGTAACACTGCCTCGTGCAGTGAATAAACCTATGTACTTTGTCGTTATGAATAAGAACTACGATAGCTTAATGTTAGATTGTGCTCTCAGTTTGGCAGACCATTCTGAATCATAGAAAGAACTATGCATTCCGGAATGGAAGCAAATACCTTTACTTGAGCTGGCTTTAAATTTGATTATTCAGCTACCCATCAGTCCAGTTAATTACAGCTTAAAAATGCCAAAGTTCTATTCCTAACATGCTAAAACCCAAAGATCCCAAGTGCTTAACAAGAGACAGAAGTTTCCATTAAGTATTCTTTGGCTGAGATTGTGTGCCAGAGAAACCCTATAGTTGAGTTGTTATGGCTCCAAATTACTACGACTGCTTCCATCAGAGTTTTTTCAGTGTTAACTGGATAATGATGGATACTCTCAGAAAAATAAATTTATCGTCACTTGGGCATTTTACATTTTAAATTATAGTGGTGCAATGCATTCCTGATGTAACTGACGTGAATGGAGTTACACTAGGGATCGTTTTAGTTCTACTAATGTAGTTCAGATTATTTCACATTGACATACATTTCAGCTAAAAATAATGCAAAATGAGATATTTTGATATTTCAGGTTCACTTGCAATGTGAAAAAAATTTGGAGGAGTTCTGTTAGAATTCATGGAATCACAGCAGCATCAAATCAGATTTCTAATATACGCTGATACTTAACTGTGTACTGGCACTTATTTAAAGAGATTCATGGGTCTTTTTATTGTAATCTTAAGTGCCAAGGCCATACTCAAAAGGAAAGAGTTTTGCCAGCTGAAGTTTCGAATTTGATGCCTGACTTCAGAGATCCAGAATAGTTTTTCTTTATTAGAGTCATGGAGTTTTCTGATGTTATATTGATTCCTTGAAAATTTCAGCCTGGATGCTGAAGCTTAAAAGAAGGGTTGGTTACCCTCTTAGGGAGTTCTTGGTGAAGCTATTCAGTGTTCAGGCAGGCTTTCTCAGAATGATTCCACAAGAGGCCATTTCCATTTGATGGAAAGTGTAAGTTGTTAATTCGTATTTGAAGGAAAATACTTCTGCTTACATGGTTTTGTTGTGTAGAGTCCATTTCTGTGATGTCCATGTAATGCAGAATAAATCTGGGAGATCAAGGGGGTGAAGAAGCCCGCTGCTATCATGATTATATCTAATTCATGTTCTTGGTGTTTGGGGGATATTAATAGGCATTATGGACTTGTGGCCATTAAAAAATTTAATTCAAGTGTGTCTTCAGGCACTGAAACTTTTCAGATAGCTTTGAAATTTGAAAATTATTTTGCATAATACTGATGTGAAAAGAGTCTGGGATCAGGCTGTAATGTGGAGTAAAGGATCATATTATCTTATAACTTCTGACATAGAAAGTTCCTGTCAAGTATACTTTCAGATGTTGAGAGTCATTTAACTATGAAAAACCAGTGCTAAACTACCCAAGAATATGATAAATGCACTATGGAAAAACAGCAAAATATCCAGAAGCCTATTCCATGTGTAACTAGTTCGTAGAAAGTCTTTTCTGCATAGTACTGAAAAATGAAATGTGTCTTTCCGGTGATTCCAGACTCGTGTAACTAATTCTGAGTATAAATTAATTCTTAGCATAAGCTTTACAATTTATTGATAGTCCTCAAGTTAAATATGAACTATCCATGGTGCTTTAGACTATGTCACTAGCTTCCTCTAACTGTTTCTTACTGGTTCTTTATTACTTCTTGCTGTCATTGTGACCAGTTATAAATACAGGCCTACTTATTTTTATTATTAATTGGCATGAGACAGTAACACCAAAAGCAAATATTTTAAAAAATGAAATCATCCATAATCCCCAGCATATAAATGACAGTCTGTATCTTTTGTAGACATGGGACAGAGTATGCATTTTCCTGTTGCTATAACTGAATGATCGAATGCTTCTGATTTTGCAGTGAATAAGATCTAGTTTATAGATTTACCATATTTGTGCACCTCTGTTTGAAACAAATGCTTGTAGAAAAATTGGCAATTTTTAAAAAATAATGAACATTCCTTCATTTCCACAGAGATCATCTAATGTGAAGAAAACAATTGACAAATTAACTCTGGGTTAAAGCACATAAATGTTTTGTACCTGGGAACCACGGTACAAACATGAAACTTTACGTATTGCTACCATGCTTTCTGTGTATTCAGAACTCTGATGACATTAATTCTGAATGAAAACTCATTAAAGCATTATGTACTGAGATGGTTGAATTAATTTTTGTTTTCAATTTTAATTTCCTTTAAAATTTTAATGTACTTGAGACCTTTTTCTGCAACAGGTCCTTTGGATAATAAATACCTAAATATCTAAGAAGGAAAGAAGTCTTAAATTATATGTCAAAATCTGATAAAAGGTTCTAATTGAGGCAAAGTAGGTAAGTAAAAACTTTTTTTTTTTCCCTTGTGTATTTGTGGTATTGCTATTGAAAACAAATTGGGGGAAAATTGCCTGGACAGATCTGCAGCCGCAGGAGAGGTACTTCGTGCGTTGTGTGTGTTCCAGGTACTCAGATCTCAGGAGCAGCAGCAGCTGCATCTCGGGTCAGCTGCTGCTTCTGCTTCGGGCCACTGGGCGGTTCCTCATCGTGCTGGCCACAACCAAGTCGGCGGGAGGGTGCTGTGGAGTTTTTAGCCTGTCTGGCAAATCCATGCTCCTACCACAACTGTCCTATCTGAGTGCTCTGAAGTACCACCTAAACCTCTTACAGAGGCTGCAGCGTGCTAGTACCTAAGCTCCAGAGGGACTCGGGTCCACATTCACAAAATGTATTTTTGGACACCTGACTTCTGTTGGTTTCATTAGGAGTTGGGTTGCAAAATGCTTCCTGAATCTGGGACCAGGCGATTTGGTTAGGGTCAAAAGGAAGGCTGTGGTGTGGAGCAGGTTTCCCAAGTGTTACGGTGATTTCCTAAGGAGTGTGGGAAGTGACAGCACACATTGAAGATAGATTTAGGTCTCCCTTTGTTTTTAATCTCTTGTTAAATGTTCCTGGGGCATTTGTGTTGAGAGTAGGGAGGAGGACGGATAGATTCAGTGAGATATGGCAAAGGCATCACTTTTCTCCTGTTCTTAGCACTCTGAATAAGCTAGGGATTTTTATTTATTTATTTACCCCTAACACTTTTAGAAGCCATTTCAGTGGGAGAATATGCATTGACTCTGCAATTATCATCCTGGACATGAATAGTAGCTTTCAATTCAGAAAATCAAATGAGACATACTCAGTATCACTCCTGTACTTTTAATTTGTTTTAATTATGCTGGCTTTGAGTCCAATGCTCTTGCACTGAAGTAATCTAAATTTCCTACGTCACTACTAGGCAGCACTTTACCTCGTATTGCAGTATATGACTACTGAGAAGACAATTTCTCTTCCTTGTTTGTATTTATGTCGATATGATTATGATACAGACTTACGCTGTAGAGGAGGGATGCTCCAGAGTGCTTCACTGCATGTTTATCTTCATTGGTAGGTGAGCAACACGCCACGATATGCTTTGGAAAGAAATCCTACCACATGCATGGGGAGACAGCATTCCCTTTTCTCCTGTATATGCTTTCCTTGCACTGTAGATTCACCCATGCTTCTCACTTCTGTTTCATTTAGATGAATGAGGGATTTTCAGTCGGAGCCTGTGGTATCTGTCCTTGATGTGGTTCATCCACTATACAAATGAACTTTGATTTCTGTCTTTTGTTGTCTCCCTATCAGTACCGCTTTGTAATGAACTCGGGGTGTCATTCAGTGACAGTTTCTTCTTGCACAGTGGAGCCTGAGTAGCACAGTGAGCCTGAATACAGAAAACTGCAGAGGACTGTTGATATGACCTTTTGTTTTTCTGTCCCAAACCAGTAAGATATAGCAGCATTACAGTAAGTTATACATTGCACAGACTGTACATTTCAGAGTAAATAAGTTCTGTTTTGTTAATGGGCTTGTATTTTCAAGGTGCCCTCAAGTTGCCCTGAATTCATCAGGAATTTAAGACATTGAATATTCTTCAGGTTTAAGTGTGAAGGAAGATGATCCCTCTTTGCATTCCAAATGGCAAG